ATGTGGTCACACTTCAATGTGCTAATGGTGTGTGTGTCCTGGGTCAATGTGTGTGTGTGTCCTGAAAAGTCAATCCTCAGGTTGGCACATCCGAATGCTATTCCACACACCTGAATGCGATGATAATAATGATGTTTAATTTTAGTGACTACTTGTTTAAGATTTTGTTGATAGGCGATTCTGGTGTTGGAAAGTCTTGTTTGTTATTACGATTTGCTGATGGCAATTATACGGATAGTTATATCTCTACGATAGGAGTAGATTTTAAGATTAAGACGATAATGTTGGAAGATAAAAAAGTGAAGTTACAAATTGTAAGTTGCAACCAAGAGTGTGTGCACGAGTTTGTGCACGAGTTTGTGCACGAGTTTGTGCACGAGTGTGTGCACGAGTTTGTGCACGAGTTTGTGCACGAGTGTGTGTATAACAGACGTATTTGTAGTGGGATACGGCGGGTCAAGAACGATTCAGAACCATCACATCGTCTTATTATCGAGGGGCCCAAGGAATCATAGTAGTATTTGATGTGACGGATCGTGATTCGTATGATCATGTTCGTCAATGGATGCATGAAATCGAACGATATGCCGGTGAAGAGGTGAATACTCTTCTGGTTGGTAATAAACGAGACCTTACAAGTGAACGTGCCGTCACTTATTCCGAAGGCGAAGATCTTGCCGCTAGTTATGGTATACGCTATGTTGAAACTTCAGCTCGTGAATGTACTAACGTCGAATCAGCCTTTACCATCATGGCCGCAGAAATCAAAAGCAGATTTCAAGTTGCAGCAACAACCAGCCAACCCAGGAACAACCCAATTGCGCTATCAGCGGCAGGCAAACCCGTCAAAGAAAACAAGTAAAACACACAACACAACATAGCACGCGCTTGCAAACATAATTAATTGCCTCCATAGCTGCTGCGGATTGATGTGATATTGAATGGTGTTTTTAAACCGTATTGAACCTGTTTGTCTGCGCCCGTCGGCACAGTGTCGTGTGAGGATGGGATGGGGCGGTTTTGAGTGGGACAAGAAATTCCTTTGCAGTGTTGGGAGAATGTTTCGAGGAGAGACTAACTGAAGGCTGGTCCATCACGACGATGCTAGGATGGCTTGAAGGATGATGATAGGGAGAGAACTGAAGGCGAGTGGAGTTGAACCCGGAAAAAAGATACAAACTTATTTGGCGCTATCTTTGCTGCGTGGCCGTTGTGTCGCCCGAGGGAGGCTTCCTTAGGCACAGTAGTTACACGACTCAGAGAAGGGTATTATACACCCAGTCGAATTAATCATGAGGATATGAGATGAGTCAGCACCTCCCCCTAGCTCGGACGCTTTCGGTTTTCGGTTCGACACAACATACATTAACTTTTCAGCAATTGAGAGAATTTTTGGGGTCGAATGAAGTTACATATCGATCGGAAATCTGCAAGTGAATCCCATGTGCTGGGTCCGGCTATGCTGGGTCGCTTTGTAGTGCCTGTGATATTCAACAAACATCTACTAGACCTATGTTGTGTTCATGATTGGTTGGATCGACCGAGATGGAGATCCGACGATTTGTATGAGTTTGAGCACGAGATGTACGTGCTATCAGATCTGGGGAGTGAGTTGAAGTATGCCAATACGGGGTACTGTGTTGTATTAGGAGGTCAGGTTATTGATGCACCGGATAGTGACCCATCAGAGCAGGATGATGATCACCCATCAAGACAAGATAATGATTACCCATCATGGCAGGATGATTTCATCAAGCTGCTGTACAAGAGTCCAACAGTTCGGAGTTGCCTAGCGACAGTCATTACCGACTTGGCGAAACGTGCTGAGAAGATGGTTGGCGGTCCTCTTAGATACAGGCAGGTGAGAGACGTCCTTGCAGCAATAAACCGCTATCGTTATGATGATCGCGACATTGAGTTCGATTGTGCCCGAGAAATATCGTTCGATCGTTGGGACGAATGTCGCGGAAACCTCACAGAGCTGGCAGCGAGCTACAACTGCTTTCACGTAGTGGAAGAAGATGGTGCCACTGTGCAGTTTCCAGCTTCACACCTCACATGCCGGCCTTCAAAACTATTGGGGGAAGCTGCCAAAAAGATGGTCGCCGGACTGACCCGATGAGTGGCGTGGTCAGCTCATCCGACCGCCTGGTTGTGCTTGGCATTTTTAGTTGGGCAAACTGGCTCACTCTGTTGGGTCACAACTATCGTGCTTTATTACTGTACATGATGAAGAATGGAATAAGCTGGAGTAAGAGTGGAGAGTGGAAGAGTGGAGTAAGCTGTTCATACTCCGACTGTGATGGGGAGCACATTAAGAATTGCAGTTCCGTTACGTTCCGCGTATAGACATCGCCTTGGGAGTGAACTTTCCTTGGGAGTGGGCAAGCAAGCAGTCAGAGAACTCATGATGTTTCCGTTTGTCAGGCGGGTGGATGTATTAAAAATTAGGTGATGAAGTGTAATGTTTGTGCGGAAGGGGAGAGGATGGTAGTCTTTGCTGAGCTGGCTCGGTTTGTGATACCAGTCGTATTCGACAGGCATGTATTAGACCTAGTCTCTATTGCTGAAACATTGGATAGTTATTCTTTGTCTCGTGATTTGAGCGTGCTGTGGTTCGTAGCCAGCGAATTGAGGAGTGACCAGACGGGCTTATGTGTTGTGTTGGGGGGTGATGTCTTTGAGGAGGAATATGGCTCGTCTAGTGATAGTGAGAAGGGCCGCTGCAGTGAGAAGGGGGTTGAGAATTTATCATTCATCGAGCTGCTTATGAAAGAACCTGAACTTCAGGAATGTTTGATGACACTCGTTACGGACTTGGCAAAACGTGCGGAGAGCTTGGTTGGTGGTGAGATTAAACTCAGACAGTTTAAGGACGTTCTGCAAGCACTAAATGGTTACCGCTATCACAGCAATAAATCCAAGTACGACCTTACCCGCGAAATAGCTTTCGATCATGAAGAGGAAAACTGCTCAAGCCTCGAGGCACTGGCAGCCAGCTACCGATGCATGCACAGGTATACAAAAGGTGATACAACTGTTTTGTTCCCAGCTTCACATACAACCTGCCAAATGATGAAGCTGCCAAAGGACGCCGCTAAACGCTTAGAAAACCGGATTAGAGACAAACACTGCTGAACAAACAGTACCACCCTATTTTTGTTTATGAAACCATCACTTCACCCGGTATTCATCTTCACCCGTTCTCATCTTCACCCGTTCTCATCTTCACCCGTTCTCATCTTCACCCGCCCTACTTACTCACTCACTTGGGGAACTTCGGCAAATTTGCCTTAGGGAACTTCGGCAAATTTGCGCAGTCGTTAAAATAATCATTCTAAAGGGGAAGAAGGACAGTCCTTCGTGGGTCAGTTTTAAAATCTTGCGAATGTGTCTGATATGTTCCGCTGTGTGTCATCGAACCAGATCGGCCCGCAAGCTTTACGATCTCGCCAGTCGATTTTTCACCGTCGTGGTCGAGAGCCATACCAGCAGTGAACCAGCCGTCGTTCGTTCGCTTCTCCGAGTGGCCGAGTGGCTGACTGGCCAAAGGCTGACTGGCCAAAGGCTGACTGGCCAAAGGCTGACTGGCCAAAGGCTGACTGGCCAAAGGCTGACTGGGCACGTCTGGTTTATAGCACAGCTTCATCCGGCCAGTGCTTGCAGCACGCATTAGGGGACTTGGTCGTACTGGTGTGAGATTGAACTCCGTGCCTTGTGCTAGTCGAGTCGCCTGAGTCCCAAGTCGAGTCCGTCCCCCAGCTAGAGGTTGTTCCGGCTTCCGGGGCTGCAGACTGTTGGAAGGGTTTTGATTGTTTGAAAGCAAAACACCGTCCTGCGTCCTGTGCGGGCCTGCGCGCCTGCTCTCTAGCCAGAGCCCGTCGTTGGCGAACTGACCGCTGTATGACATCTCACGAGGCCTACCTGTAAGAGGCCTAGCTGTTGTAAGAGGCCTAACCGTCAGAGGGCCAGTCGTGAGAGACTTGGTTGTGACAGGCCCAGTCGCAACGGACCTGGTTGTGACAGGCCCAGACCTGGTTGTGACAGGCCCAGACCTGGTTGTGACAGGCCCAGGCTTGGTTGTGACAGGCTCAGGCTTGGTTGTGACAGGCCCAGTCGTAAGAGGCTTAGCTGTCAGAGACTTAGCTGTAGGAGGCCCAGTCGTGAGGAGCCCAGTCGTGAGAGCCCCAGGACGGATGGTCAAAACCCCGGCCTTGGTAGTACTGTCGATACGTGAGGACACCAAGTTGGTCGGCGCAGCCGGTGTGGAAGAGGGTCGGGTAGTCAGTACGGCCGGCCTGGAGGCAGACGCAGAGAAGGTCCGGGGGATCGACGTAGGGTGTGCGCAGGAACCACTGTTCGGGGGTGCACCTTTCAGGACCTTCCCATCATGGACCGTTCCATCATGGACCGTTCCGTCGTGGACCGTTCCGTCATGGACCGTTCCGTCATGGACCGTTCCGTTATGGACCGTTCCATCATGCACAGTGATGGCAACCACGGGATTCGAACCATCGCTGGGGATGCTGATTGTGATCATGGTGTCCCGTCTAGGACTGATTCCAGCTTCCCTTGTCAGGCTGCCGCCTGCAGGACCCCGGAGCGTTGTGTACTCCCTGCGTTCCGTGTACTCCCGGCCGCTCCGGTCATCTCTGAGTGTTACGCTGACACTACTGTCCTGCAAATACGGCATCACTTCCGATCCCACCTCCGATCTCGCCTCTGATCTCACCTCTGATCTCACCTCCGATCTCGCCTCCGATCTCGCCTCCGGTCTCACATCCGGCCTCACCTCCGGCCTCACCTCCGATGTCGGCCTTGCCTCGTGGCGGGTCCAAGTCTGGAGGGGTGCCTGCTTGTTGTCAGTCGCCGGTTGTGCGGGCTCGGACTCACGACCGAGCGCGATGCGAGAAAACCGCGCTAACGGCGAAGGCGCCGGGGCCACCGACTGGGAGCAGACACTCCGGTGCTCCGACACACGATCCAGACTTAGCCGCGCTTTCACACCCGCCTCGTCGCGGCTGTAGCTTTTGCTCTTCATCTCTCCCGCGTACCTGGATGCTGGAGCCGACTTAGGTTCTCCCACGTACTTCACCTCTCTAACCGACTTGGAGTCTCCCACGTACTTTATCTCTCCGGCGCACATGGGCTCTTCTCCCACGTAATTAATCTCCCCAGCCGACTTGGGCACGTACTTGATGTCGCCCGAGGACTTGATCTCTTTGGGCCGGTAACTCCCTGCCGAGATAGCCTCCGTAGGAACACGCCGACTGCCCGAGAAGGGCCGTTGTACAGCCATCAATCGCTCCGCGCTCCCAGGCATCTTCTCAGCCGATCGGAAAGACCCCGCGGCTTCCAGAGACCTGGGCGCAGCGAACTGCGGCCTAGTCGAAAGGGGCCTTCCATCCGGCTCGGGAACCCTCGACTCTGCACTCCTCAGCTCTTGCACGACGGCGGCCTGAGGCTTCGTTGCCTCATACACCCTGCGCACTTGCTCATACGCATTCGTCTTTTCGCTCACACTCGTCGATGCGTAGACTTTCGTCGGCTCATAAACCCCAGCCGGTTCACAGGTCTTAGCCGATTCGTGAACCTTAGTCGGTTCATACACTTTACTCGAGTCACAGCTCCTGCTTGGCTCAGCATACACGCTCGTTGCATTCAACGGCTCGTAGAGCTTCACGGGTTCGTAGACCACCACTGAGTCGTACACCTTCACTGAGTCACACACCTTCTGGGAGTCACACACCTTCTGGGAGTCACACACCTTCTGGGAGTCACAGACCTTCACGGCCTCGTAGACCTCCGCTATGGCGTCGTAGGCTGTACCGGGCTTGTATGCCTGCATAAGTTCTTGCGTCCCCATCGTGTAAGCTGATGTAAACTCAGTCGTTTTGTACTCGGTGGTCGTTGGGGACTTCGTCGTTGGGTACTCGGTAGTCTGGTACACGGTCGTTGGGTACTCGGTCGCCGAGTACACGGTCGTTGGGTACTTCGTCTCTTGGTACTGGGAGGCCGTTCTAGAATCGGTTGTTGGGTACTCGGTTGTTGGGTACTCGGTTGTTGGGTACTCGGTTGTTGGGTACTTCGTCGCTTGGTACTGGTGGTCGTTCTAGAATCTGTCGTCTGGTACACGGTTGTTGTGTGCTCGGTCGCCGGGTACACGGTCGTTGGG